CAGAGGCCCAGTGAGGCTGCTGGCATATTCATTATTGGTCTGCTTTTAACGATCGATTGAGGTTTAATTAACTGGCTGCGATTATTTGAGGGAATTTAAATAGCATAATTAACCCGGCGGGGGAACCAGGCTCTGTGCTGGAAAGGAGGGGTGAGGAGGTGGCTTTTGGACTGGGGAGGGGTGGGGATGCCGTGGGGGGGGCTGGGGGGAGTTGGAGTGGGGAGATGGATGGGAGGGTGAGAAAGCGGAGTGAACCCATTTTCTGAAATGGAGGAAAGAGAGACTTCCATCCTTCTCCCACTGTAGATTCAGGACCCTTTTTGTTGGCGGGGGGGCAGGGGGGGACAATTAGGATCCATCTCGTCTTCCCCAAAAGGGAAATTAAGAGGAAGGGCAGCATCAGATGAAAGGCCAGGAGTAAAACTTTGAGGACCGAGGGGGGAAGTTTCTGAATCGTTATTCTGCTCACAGCCCACACAAAGGTATGGTCAGAGGATTCTGTGTTTCTGAAGCCTTCCCCGGCCCCCAGGGGCAAGCCCCGAATGCCGTGGCCTGGAGGGACCCATACCAGGGGGGCTGGCTGGGGCATGGAAGGGGCAGGATGGTCCGAGTGGAGCCGCAGGGTGCCTGGGGGTGGACAAGACATCCGTGGCAACAAGTTTGGTGCCTTAGGCATGGGCAAAACGCAAGGACGTTCTCGCCAGGTGTTTCCCCCCACAGGAAGGGGCCGTGGGGAGGTGCGGAGCAGGAGAAGGGAGGCTGCCGATGGGGCCGGCTGGGGTGGGGACGTGGAAGGGACGGGCAGGCGTCCCGAGGAAGTGGTCCTGGGGTCAGGGGTCGGGGGCTCTTGCCGGGATGCGTCCGGGCCTTCTGCAGAACCAGCCAGCCGTCCTCTGGGGCTCCTCCCGGCCCAGCTGCCTCGCGCACAACAAGCAAAAGAGGTGAAGGGAAAGGCGAAAGCAGAGGAGAGATAAAAATAGATCCGCGAGGAGAAAGAGGACCCGGGGGATTCGCATGGGAAAGGCTGCATCCTCCTCCACAGCCGATCCATCCTGGGCGGTCATCCGCTGCCTGTCCCACGCACGCGTGTGCCCCCGGCCCCATATCGAAGCCCTGACCCCACCTGGACGAGGGCAGCCACCACATCCGGCCCGGCGGGGCTGCTTCTCCAGCAGGCCGTTCCCTCCCTTGGACCAGGGGGCTGCTAACTCGGGGTGGGGGGGCTGCCGCCAGCCCTGCCCTCCTCCTCGATGTTTGGGGAGAAGCAGGGAGTGCAAGCAGAGGACAACATCACCCCCCCCCCAGCCGAATGGTCAGAATAAGGTATATTTTAACAAGACACTTATCGATTTGTAATGGTGTTTTTATACAGTTAGTTTGTTTTATGGAAGTGTTTTTATAGTTACAAGCCTCCCGGGATAGAGACAAACAAACTATATACTAAAAATGTCTGAATTTGCCACCCTGAAATGTCAGACAGAAGCTCAGCCCCCTCCACCACCCAGGTTCCAGATTTTCTTGGCTTCTTGCTTAATTTGTGCTTAATTTTACCACCATGAGAACTAGAACCTTCCTAAAAAGCAAGACTGAGTTAGCAACCTCTCATACAAAGTTTTGCCCTTGTGTTCAGAAAAACCCAGTAACCATACTGAGCTTGTAACAGATAATTGTAATAAATTTATTATTTAATAATAATCTTACTTTTATTATTTAATAATATTTTTTGAATTTTGTTATTTAATAGTTAGCATTTTAATATTTAATATTGATTTTAATATTTAATAATTATTATTTGTGGTTATTTGTTAATTATTCATAATTATTTTACAATTTAAAACTATAATACAAGTGATTTCCAATAAAAGCAGTAACATCAAACTAATAAATATGCCAAGAAAACATAAAATATAATGCCAGATATTGCAGTGACTAAAATATGAAAATGCTAAAATTATTTGAAAACAATCTTTGATTATTTGAAAATGTTTATAGATGTGTTCAAACATTTCAAGTTTGACTGGCAGATCTGTGACCTATTTAAAGTTGTACTAGCCTAACCTGGTGCGCTCCAACTGTGTTGCACTACAACACCCAGTATCCCCTGGAACTTGTGGGGCATGGCATCTGGAGGACTCCAAGGTGGGGAAGGCTGGACCACAAGCGCTTCTCCGGAAGTCCCTGTCCAGAAGCTGAGAAATGAATGAATATGGCTTTGGAGCGGTGCTTTTTCTGTTCCTAGCGGCATCGGGAACAGAAGACCTTGGTGTTAGATCCAGCTGCACAGGTGTGTGTGTGTTCCAGCGGCACAGGTCTGTGTGGTGTGTGTGTGTTTCATTTATGCCCCACCAACCTTGCATGCCTGGGAAGAGAATCGCTCAGGGCTGATGGTGCTGGCTTGGCTCATAAGCGGAAGTGGCATCAGGGGATGGCTTGCTTGGACTGGAGCCTCGTATCTCTGGGAGCCCCCCTGCCCCCCCCATCCACAGGCACTTGCTGCCTTCTGGCCCACATGCCCTTCGCCTCCTGCTGCCCCCCAGCCACAAAATTTCCTGCCTCAGCGTTTTTCTGAAACCAAGCTCCTCCTTCCGACTGCCTAGACCCCTTTTGACAGAGGGGTGTCCTTCGGAAACGGGGTCCTTTAAGATCCTCGGAGAAACCTCAGAGCAAGGCAGTTAGCAAGGACAACATTATGCTCTTTTGGGGTTTTAGGTCCATGGCCCTAAGCCCCCCTCACCCCCCCAGGACAAAAGGAGCCAAATGCCTGCCCCTTCTGGTGGAGCCGGTTGGCCGCAAATGAAGTGGGACAGTAAATGCCGGCCCGGCACCATGACCTCTTGCCCGGGGTGAGGAAAATCCTCCAACCCACCCAGGGCCCAGGAGTTGCTGTGGCCGCCCCTCACTAGAGAAGCGGCCTGGCATGGAGGGGGGGGGACACTCGGCAGCCCCAAGGGTCTTGAGTGGGGATTAGCTGCCCCTCGGGCCGAGACTCTCATCCCTCCACACCAATCCAGTTAGGTGACGTAATCCGCCCAGCTTGAGCCAGATTTAGGAGGATCCAAAGAGGAAATCTGGTGGGATCAGGCAGTGAAATCGTCCGCGGAGAAGAGAGACGCTTCCACGGGTGGGTGCCCAAACGCACGTGCGGCTTCCTGCGAGGGCCACCCCACCCGCCACGCAGACACCGCCCACGGCACCCTGCTTTGCACGGAGACCGTGCGGCCGACCTGGCAGCCCCCGTCAGGCCGGCCGAGATTAACCATGCTGCACATGCCTGCGAGCGGCGTGCCAGCCCTTCAGCGGGAGATGCGAGGAAGCTGCAGCGGGGAGCGACAGCAGGCCGGAGCTGGGGATGGGACGGGGGGCAGGAAAAGAAGCCGGGGGAGCGAAGAGCGCGGGCAGAGGCGTCAGAGGAGGGGCAGCCTGGAGAGGAGCGCGAGGACGAAGCAGGGGAGGGAAAGAGGATTAAAAGGAGTGAAAGGAGCAAGACAGCGATCGTAAATCGAGATCGAGGGGAGAAAGGGAAGGAGGCCGGCTCTATCAGCCCCACTCCGGAAGAGGTGCAGGGGCCCGAGGGCGCGCATATGCTGTGAAGGTTTGATATACCTCTTCTGCACACCAACACACTAAAGGCGGGGAAAGAGAGGACAGAGAGATGGCTAAAGGTGAGGAATTGCAAAAGAAACGCTTCCAGGCTTCGGCTTGGCTAAGAAAAGGAGCTCACCTAATATGGCCCAGTTAGAAGGTCACCTGTTTTACACCTGTGCTCACCCAGAGCTTGCTGATATGAGGGAGTTTTGTGTCCTTCCTTTGGCCAGGTTCCCTAACCAACTGGCCATAGAATTGGGGTGCCACCTATCAGCCAGGAAAGGAATTGCAGCCTGCAGGCCTCGGGTGAGCCTGGCCTGCGCTCAAACCTGGGCATTGGCCCATGTGGCTTGCGCTCTGCGGCCACCAGCGAGACTGGCCGGCAATTCGGAGTCAGTCCCTGGCCAGGAGGAGCCATACCGGCTTCTGCTCCCTGCCCGTGCACACAGGGTATGCGCTACACAATTTGCCCAATTGCCTGTGCAGCTTCGAACCCAGCTATTTTCTCAATTTTGCCTCTCTCAGAGGACCAGGGATAATATGGGAAGAGAACAGAAGGCCCAGGTGAGTTCCTCAAGTAGGGCTGGCGGCAACCATTCCTTTCAGGCAACAGGATTTTGCAAGCCGGTGCCCACAGCAGGATTCCAGTTTAATTCTTGCCCTACAAATGTCTAGTTTCTGGAACTCACCAAAATATGCAAACCAAGCACATTTCCACTGATTTTCTAACTGGATACGTTCAAGCCTACTTTCATCACCATGGTAGGGCTACAATTCAAACAAAAATACGATTAAAACAGTATTCCAAGAATGCGGAATCCTGCAGGTTGTATTCCGTTCCGGTGACTGTGCGGTGAGGACTACGCTGCAGGACAGGACTGTGTCCCAGGTACTTCTGGAACTCTTCAAAGCAAAAGAAAGACGCGGTTTTCACGTGGAACTAACTTATCTTTTGGCAGGGCCAGGCACCAGTAAGTTGCATGCGGCCACTTCCTGCGGCGTCCTAGCAAGAGAGGGCGCTTGCCCAAGGGCTCCTCTACAGCCAAACGGCGGGACAGGGGAAGACGGCACGCATCCGGGGGCTGCGAGGAGGCTGGACTGCTGTTCCTGGAAAGCATCCGCCTGCGAGCGGCAGTGCAGGGAGCAACAGCTGCTGCTGAGCAGCGCACAGTCCCCAGAGGAAGAAATCTAGTAATCTGCTAACAAGATCCCCAGGGCAAGATGCTTGGCCACCTTCCTAAAACTGCCTTTTCCTGTATGAGCGCCAGTGGCTGGAGCCATGGAGTTGGAGGGTCCCCTCCAGGCACGTCCACCTCACAGCAGAAAGCAAATCGCAGGGAGAAGGGGGCTCAAGGCACCCTCCGCAGCAGCTGCAGGCATCCCTGCTTGCCCTCCAATAAAGACGACAGCAGGTATAAAACTAACACCATCTCTTTTATTATGCTCTCTTTCTTGTATCGTCAGAATAATAAAAAAAAATTTCCCAAAATAAAATACAAATTAACGGGGAGGGAACTGGCCCCGGGAGCGGAGGGGAGCAGAAGGGCTGGGGACGAAGTCTCCCAAGGGGGGGGGGGCGGAGGCCCTGCTGCTTATCCTCAGCCGCAGCTCACGCCCCTCCGCCTCTCCCCACAGGGCCGCTGCAGAGGGAGAGCCCCACGCACGCCCCGTTCCTCCTGCCACAAAACCGGGGCGAGAGCCGGGGGAAGTGCCACCGCCAGCCAGCCGCCCCCTCCCCCCCGAAGGTCAAAGCACAGGGGGAGTCGGCAGAGGTCAGCGGCGCCCCCCCCTGTCCTGTGCGGGCGTGCTGCGACTCCGACTTCGGCTGTGCCGGGCCTTGGCGTCACGCCGGTCCCGATCCCTGCCACTGCTGCGCTCGCCGCCCCGGCTCGCCCCGCCTCCTGTGGCGTTGGGCCGCTCCCGCTCGCGGCTGTGTTCCCGCCGCTTCTCCCGCTCGGCCTGGCGGCTGCGCTCCCGCTGGCGGGCTTCCTCTGCCTCCTGCTCCTTGCGCCGGCGCTCCCGCTCCCGGGCCCGGGCCGCCCGTTCGGCCTGCTTCTGAACGTACTGGGGGAGAAAGAGGGGAAGTCAGAGCACAAACGGGGGGGCCAGCGGAAGGAGCTGCCCGTGGGCAGGAGGGCTGGACGGGCTGCAACCCCCGTCATCTGCGTGACCGTGCTGCCTCTGGGTTCGAAAACGCGGTATGTCAACACGGAAGGCTGCTGCGCCCTCCCATGGGGAGCAGGAGGCGGGCAGCACAGGGAATTCGGGCACTGTCAGTTGGGATGGCGGCCTAGGACTCCGCTTTCCCTTCCTTTCTCCCGCAACCCTTCCAGGTAGCGCTTCCAGTCGAGACCCTGGACCGGCGCGTCTGCCACAGCCGAACTCCGAAATGAGGCGTGAGAGGTGGGCAGGTCCCGGCTTTGGTGGCCCGGCACCCTGGGTGCCTCCGCCGGCTTGCCTGGACGAGGCGTCAGCAGCGAGCAGAGAGGTGCTGCTCAGATCAGCTCAGCCCGGGGGGGGGGGGGCTCACCTGGGTGTCTGTGAGGGGCAGCCAATAAATGCAGGGGGCTGCCTTGGTTTTGCGAAAGAGATCGTCCAGCAGTTTAGCGGGGGGCTCCTCCTGGGCCTTTTCTGTGCAGGAGTGCAAAGAGGAAGGGCGAGATCAGAAGGGGGGCCGGCTGCGTGAGGAGACGGCCTGGGGGAGCCCACGGCCTTCCTGCACCCCATCCCCCATCAAGGGGCCCGGCCCACCCACACCCCAGACATTCCTGCCCCTCACAGTGGCAGCTGCTGAGGGCGAGGCAGCCGAGGCGGCTGGGAGCTCCGAGGCAGGAGAGGGAGGGCCTCCGCCCCGGCCTGCACAGACCACCTACCCTTCTTCTCGGCCTTCTTCTCCTTGGACTTGGGCCGCTCTTTGCGGCGTCTCTCTCGGGAACGGGAGCGAGAGCGGGGGCCCTCCCGCACCTTGTCCCGGTCCCACTCCCGTTCGGCCCGCGTCCGTTCCCGGCGCTCCATCTCGCGCTCCCGCTCGGCCCACTGCTCCCGCACGGCCGCCTCCCGCTCCCGGGCCTCGGAGCGCCGGGACATCTCGCGCTCCCCCCGTGCTGCCGGGCCCACCCCGGGCAGCGCCAGTGCTTCGTCCGCCTTGGCTTCTACGGGGCGCTCGGCCAGCAGACCCCGGTGGAAGTCCAGCTGGGGAGAGAGAGAGAGGGGAGCTCCGCGTCGGCGTGCGCGCCTGCAGCCCGGCACTTGAAGAGCGGCGCGCGCGTCCCCCGCCGCCCAGCCCGCCGCCTCACATCCCACAAGTTTTATCGGGCCTGGATGATGGCTGCTAAGCGCTGGGCACACCTGAGCTGCCCCAGGGGTCCCTCCCAAGCTGGAGAGCAAGAGGCCGCGGGGAGGACGGACGCGCCCCATGCTCCTTCGGCCCGGCCTCGCCTCTCTCGAGCGGACAAGCACCACCACCGGCAGACCAGGCTGGGCACTTCGCCAGCTCCCACGGGCGCCAGGCGACCCGGAGCACCCTCGCTCCCAGCGCAGGGGCTCCCGCTCCGGGCCAGTGAGCCCTGCAGGGAATTTCCATCTTTTTAAAAAAAACTCAGACTGACTGACTGGCCATCACAGGATCCAGCGCCAGGATGTTCCAAGGGAGAATGCTTTCATGGAAAATATATCCCCTTTTCATCTAGGATGACTTGTCGGCCGGTTTTACCGGGACACCAGCTCCTATTCAGCCTCTTCTCAGGCACAGGCCCTGATCCTCTAAGCACCTACGCTGCAGGAAGGCCACAGCGGCTGCTTCTCCCCGTTTCCCGTCTGCCATCTTCTCCTTCCTGAGAACTGTGTGTCTGTGCGACACGTAGGAGTGCTAGAGGCCCCCCTCCCGCCCCCACTCCAATGTTCATACCTCATCTTGCTCAGCAAAATCTGCTGATAAGAACTTGGGGTTGGACTGCGGCCACTTGACCCCGTGGAGGGCATTGCGAGTCGCTACGGCCTCTTCCACAGTTGAGTACTGGAAAGGAAAGTGAGGCGGAGGAGGACATTGGTTTGGTGGAACACTTTCCCTGATTTAAGCAGGGTTCATTTTCCCCATGTGCTCCTGGGGCTGGGGCTGGGGCTGGGGCTGGGGCTGGGGCTGGGGGGGCCCTGCCCATGTTGAAATGTTCTTCAAGCAAGAGCTGGCGGTGATGTCTTGCTTCCTATTGTGGGTCTTGCAAAGCGCTGTGTATTTCAAGCCAATCCAGAGAGGCAGCGGCCTTAGATTTCATTTGCCTGTTTTTCCAAGCTCCAACCGCTCTGGTCGCTTCCCCTTCCCAGAGAAAAAGTGAGCAAGGCTCTCCCTGTGCTCCCACCCACAAAGCAGGAGCTTCCTGGACTGGGACGGCAATCCCATAATTCCCAGCCAACACAGCCACTGTCCGTGCCGCCGAAGGCAGGGGCACTGAGCTCTGGTCAGGGGAGCTGGCTCCGGAGGCATCCAGCCACCCGCCTCTTCGCAGCCACAGGCGCCATCGTTGCAAGCGAGACTTGCTCCACGGCCAGCTCGGGGGGGGGCGGGGGAAGCCCAGCCACTCACCGTCACGTAGCAGTGCGACTTGATCTTGTCGATCCAGAAGGCCTCCTCCACCAGGGTGCCCGTCCGCCCCAGCAGCTCCTTCAGCTGCCCCAGGGTGAAGGGCCTCACCTGTGCAGAAAGGCAACCGGGGTGAGAGGAGTCCTGCTCGGTCGAGGCCCCGATCCAAGCAGCTCCTCCAAAAGGGCGCCCCGAGAACTCACCAGGTTGCAGATGTGGACAATGCTGCTGACTTTGCCGCGCGGAGGCGAGGGGGCCTGGGCCGTGCGGACGGGGTCGTCGATGGTGATGGAGACGCTGGAGCGCTGCTGACTGATGGACCGCCGGGTTAACGTATCAGTCAGTGTGACTGTTGGGGGGGGGAGGAAAGAAACGCAAAGAGCCAAAGGTAATTCTCCAACTGCCCCCCCCCGGTCTCCCTCCCCTCCCAGCCCTGCCACTGGACGGGGGTGCATCCCCTGCTCCCCGCACCTTTCTTCACTTCATGCTCCACAGGTGGCGGGGGCAGCGTGACAGTCTCCATGGCTACGGCAGGAGGGGCCTCTGGCTGCTCTTCCTCATGGGCCTTCTCCTCTTCCTCCTCCTCCTCCCCCTGGCCATTCTCCTGGCCTTCTGCCGGCACCACCTGGGAGGAAAAGGGGGAGGGACAGCTGTTTGCTCCTGGACAAGGAACCAAGATGACCTCCACAGGAAGAAGATCCCGCCAGGATGGCTCTGACTCGCCGAGCGTGCCAGGAATGTCTTTCCCCAAAGTTTTGAAAGTCTTTTCGGTTGGAGGTAACACAGGCAAGCTGGCCCTGTTGGCAGCTGTCATTTTCTCTGAGAACCAAACACAGTCCTCCTAGAGAAAGGATCGGGAAAACTTCCCGTGCGATTCTGCCCCAGTATGAAAACCCTCTCGAGATCTGCTGAAAAACTCCTCCAAGGGCCTTCCTTGCCAGAAATGGCCTGTGCAACGGGCAAAGAGGAGCGCCGGGTTTTAAAGGCTCACCCTCAAGGATGGTTACATTCCGACATTACATTCTCCTCAGCGCCAGGTCGATTTCCCCAGACATTCTCACTGGAGAAAAGCTATCGCCTGCTATGTGTTTTAGTCATGATCCTTTTTTAGCATTCAAGTTATGGTTCTATCATAAACAGTCTTTGTAACACACCTGCTATTCGCAGCCTGGGAATTTTTGGATGCAGGGAAGTTTATAAATAGCCTAGTGGCCAAGTTTGAAGCGGAGGGTTCCACGCTCCTGAGGAGAAGCCAACGTTGCCGGCAGCTGTGTTGATCGGTGTGGCCAAGCCAGCTCCAGTGAGTCTCCCTTCCCCGTAGCAGGTCTTTTCTAAAGCCACCAGGTCTCAAGGACCTAGGCAAGGCCAGGTCACCTCCAAAATACTTGACCTTAAAACCAAGAGCAAGGCACTGGCACCGGGAAACGTCTTGTCCCGCGAGCTCCTGGGAGGGCCGCAGCCGGATGCAGGATGACCCGTGCACTCCGAGGGTGGCCCAGGAGTGCCACAGCTCTGCTCTTTCAACGCACCCAAGCGGCAGGTCTGCCCGTCCTGTTTCCATTGGACTCCCGGACTTTAAGGTCTTTCACAGACAAAGAATGAGCTTCACAGGAAGTTCTTATAGCTCTTTCAGGATATTCTTTCAGTTCAGTTCTGTACAGCGGTTCCCAAACCCTCTGCGTCACGGGATGCCCACTTGGTGCCACGCACCTGTGTGACTGTGCGGCAGATCTTGAGCGCCTTCTCGTGGGCCGGCTCCTCCGGGTGCCGCTCAGCTTCATCTTCGGAGATGCGCGAGTCATCGGCGTGGAGGTCCACCACGGCTTCCTGCCCCCCCACTGGGGGCTTGATCTCGGGGATCAGGCTCTGGAAAAGACACGGCCGGGCAGTGAGAGGAGGACGATGGGCGCCTGGCCCCTTCCGAACCCGGCGGGCTCCTTGTGCGGTACCTTGAGCGACTCGGTGGTGATGCTGATGGAGGGCTTCTTCTGGGTGGCGGCTGTGCTGGACCCCCAGCGCCGCTTCCGGCCTCCCAGCTGGCTTCCTTCCGTGTCGCTGTTCGTTGCGGCTGCGCCCTTGGCCACAGACGACGCTGCAACCGAGACCCCACAGCCACAGCTGAGACCCCCTTGTGCAGCAATGCGGCTCAGTTTCTGGAAGCGAGGGCACCTCGAGGGCAGAGACAGGGCCCCCTCCCCAGCGGCCAGCAAAACCCCTTTCCAGTTCACAGCCCTGCAATGACGCCTCTCTCAGAGAGATGCCGGCACTGAAACTTAGCCTGGCAGGTCTCCTCCCAAAACACAGATGAGAGGGAGTCGGCGTTGTAGAAATGCAAGCTGCTATATAGAGGAAGGGCGAGAAGACAGGGCACGGCCACCGTTCTTTAAAAAAAAAACCCCTCGTATATATATTAAAGGCCAAGATTGGGAGCAGCTCTTACAATTCCAAAGGCGTGAGTCCAGTTAAATTCGGTGCCCGAAACATACAGAAACGTTACATTCAGCGGACACAAGACAAGGCTCCTTTACTTACAGACAACAGAAATCTTCCTCTTGAAGGCCTTGGGCTGTGCTGAGCCCTGCAGAGAAAGGGAAGGAGGGAACAGCAAGAGGGAGAAAAGGGAGACGGGGACAAAGAAGTAGAAAGAGAAAGAAAAAGCCCCGCACAGAGGGGGTATTAAAGTCAGCATTGCGGATTTGACAAGTGGCTGCCACACCTGAGGGAAGGGGGGGGGGAGAAGAGGGCATACGTGTGAAGGAGGGGCCCAGGTGTGGAATTGGGAGAGGGTTTTCCTGCTGATTCAAGAATAAAGCGGAGGCTGCAGAAAGTCTTCCTGATCTTGCCTGCGGGACATATGCTAAACCCGCCAATCCCGTCACATGCCGCTCTCTCTCCGCCCGCCAAGGGACACCCACTACGAATTCTTTTGTTTCCTGGATCCAAACAAAATGTCAAAAATCGGTTCTCAAAGTTTCTTGTCCTCATGTGCCCAAGGGTGTTAGATGCTCCAGCGGCTACCAAGAGTGCTCTTAGGACTGCCTCCCTCATGTGGGTTATGGCTGCCCGCATCCCCCAGGCAAAATGCTCTGACGCGCGGGCTGGCTCAGCTGGAAGGCTATCCTAGGACGCGAAGCGCGTTGAAGACCGGCAATGCCTCCCACAGAAACCGACCTGTCTCCCCACTGCTCTGTGCCCTATCAGATGGCCATGTGGGAGACCGAAGGGGTTCCAATTTTGGAACCCCTTCCCAGTCAAAACCCACCAGAGCCTTCTTCGCTAGAAGACAGCTGGTAGAGTTTATAGATGGAGATGGATTTTAATATGTAGACAAATACTTTGATGTTTGTCTTTTGGCCTACCGTTTATCTATCTTTTAAAAATATCGCTGTGATACTTTAGATTGCTGTTTTTATAGTGAAACTGTACTGTGTATCATTTCTTCCTTTATTTTTGTTCTTATGAAAAGGGTATTTTGTGCAACAGAAAGCAGAACAATAACAGCAGCGACAGCAAGAAGACTGGCAGTTGAGTGTTGTATGGAAGCAAGGGCTAATGGTTCTATTACTAAAAAAACAGATACAACTCCGTATCGTTAGTTACACTTATTTATGTCTAACATAACTAATATGAATCCTTCCACAGCAACTTACAAGTCTCAAATATCAAGATGAATTCAGATGGTGTCCTATTCATGAGTACTTCATTTTAAACAGCTCATGTTATACAGTTCTGACCATGTCAAAAGACAGTTATTAAATAAAGTCAGCCATGCTTTATTTAAAAAAATCAATGTCCTTGCTAATAAGGAATTTTGCAAGCTTACATGTTAATACAAACGTTCTTGGCGTTCTTGCCCGCCAGATGGACCCAATTGTCATGTGCTGCTTGAAAGCTTGCTAAGCCCAGCAAAAGCCTAAATAAGGTTAGGGCTTTCCATCAGCACATGCTTGGCCAACATGGGTAAAGGTGAGCACGCGGGTTGATGAGATAAAACTTTTGTCTACATTTGCCATTTGTTAATTATTCAGTATTTGCGATTAAAAAAGGTGTACATGAAGCGTTAGACAAAGCTTGCTTTTAAAAAAGTGTTTTCAGCTGGCATCAAAATCCCGTGAAGGCCAGTGCCTGCCCAATTTGTAGCAGTCAGGATCCTGGAAAGTGAACGCAACACTCAAGGCATGATCCTGAGCACACTGAGAATCACATTCCCCTTTTCTGTCCAAAAGGGCACAGAAGTGCACCCTGCAAGCCTCCCTCGGAGCAGGCCAGGCTGGAACGAACGATGAATTTGCAATGCTAAACACGCCACTTACAGCCAAGCCAGACAGACAGACAGACGCCGCTGCTGCTGCTTTGGAACCAAGGGCAGAAAACACTCCAGGAGCCAATTATAAATTCCAGCCACTGTGACACCTGGAAGGCTTCTAGCTCTCAGCCAGAAGGTGAACTTATTTTAGCTGACTGGGGGGTCGGCCACAGCAATTGCACCAAGCTGGTGTCCAACACCCTGAAGGGCCTCAACCCACCACTGATTTGTAAACGGAATCGGATTTAGAGACAAAGATCAGACCCTCGTAAGGGTGACTGCAGTGGCTCAAACGTGACCCACCACCTCCCAAGAACATTTCGGAGGCCTTCCTCTTCCCACTACTGAAATCCACCCAATCCCATGTTCACACCGTAGAAGGCAGGAGACAGCTGGAAAGGGACACCTGGCTGCCCTCACACGCTTGATTTTTCCAAGAAGGATTTGACTGAGCCGAACCAGTGAAGGGCATGTGATGTTGGGAACGGCAGACCAGCCCCATCTCTGGCACCATCCATATAGGCAAGCAGTTCAGCAGCAGATGTCACGCTTTTCTTTCAAGAAGGGAGCTCATGATTCCTCATTTCCCCCCACGTCTGCTCCCCTCTCATCTCCACTTCGCATACCCATAAAGGGGTGCAGTGGCCACCCGCCCGCTTCCCTGCAGCTCAGCCGCACACTGGCCCAGTAACATTGGGGGCACGGTCCTCCCTCTGTCGGTCCCACCTTTCCCCGCTACCCACTGGCCTCGGAGCGGGAAGGGGCAACACGGTGGGACACGGCCCAAGCGGTTGCAGAGGTGGGCTGGGGCCGAGCCGTGGAAGAGCCCGGCGGCCCTCCTGCGCTGCAGCAACGGTGCCGGCTCCAGGTGGGAGCGGCCCCGAGGACCAGACCCCGCTGCGGCTCGCTGGGGGAGAGCCAAGCCACTGCCCCGCCCCCCCGCCACACACCAAGGCAAGCTACCCCGGGACGCAGCAGCATCCCCGGGCGGCAGGGGCGCCCTCAGCCACGCCGGGAGCAACTGGGCTGCATGCTTCCGGGCACACGCTCATTCGCCTGAACCCAAGGCCCCGAAATGCGTCACGCTCGTTCCTGGAGCACGGACAGAGGCAGCGTTCTTCAACCTGCCACCCTCCAGGTGGACAGGGCTACGAAGCCCCCAACGAACCCACGCCGGTCACCATGGCTGTCGGCTATGCTGACAGGCACGGGAAAGGTGACGGGAGCTGCAGACTTGCCTCCCTGCCAGGCAAGCACCCATGTTGCAAGGTGTCCGCTTTATTCGTGAACAGCAATTCCCCAAGGAAATGAAGGGGCGGGGGGCGGGGGGAGTGCCAACCCAATGTCAACATGCCCCTCTGCTTGAGCAAGGACGGGGCTGGACCAAACCAGCGGGATACATGAACTAGACTGTTTCCCAGAGATCCCCCTGCTCCCCCATGGTTAAAAACGTTGGTGGGGGGCAAACCCCTCCATTTAAACTAGCATATGACCCACCCACCCCCAGAAGAAGTTGCAACTCATTTTTTCCTTTAAAACTTAAATTAAAAACAAAACAAAAAATAACAATTTAGGACAAGTGCTCCAGGTACCCTCTCACACCTGGGGCAGGGTCTTCTGTTCAGCCAATCGCACCTCAGTGTGTGCGCTGTATCTAGGCAACGGCTGGTCCAATCGGAATGAGCCCTCCCTGGCCTGAAAGGTGCGTGCTTGGTTGGGTTGGGTGACAAGAGAGGTGGTGGCTGGTTGGTGGTAGGTAGGTAGGAACCTAGCGCTTGGTTGGTGGTCGGAGTCAAGTGTCCCGGAAGAGAGAGGGCGAGACAGAAACACCTCCCCCACTGGCAAGGCTGATCGCGGGAGGGTCAAGGCATCAGTTCTTGGCAGGCAGAGACTGGGCCAACAGAGAGTTAAGCACTGGTACACGGAGAAGTCCCGTCAGTGGCAGGGACTCGGCAGCATCGGGTGGAGAATGTCAGCAGGCACAGAGAATTCTCAGCACGGAAACCGTCCAGACAACAGGTGAAACCGGCCGGCCGACTGGTGCTGACAGTCCTTTTGTGGAAGAGTGCCAAGGGCAGTCGCGGCAAGGGAAGGCCCACTAGCGTTTGGAGAACCCTACAGAAATAGCCGTTCTCCTAGGAAAGGGTGGAGGTGGAAGTCCTTGACTCGCAGTGGAGAAAACCAGGTCCCGTGCGAGAAGGCCCTGCAGCAGCCAGCAGGTTCTGCGAAAACGGGCGACGCTGCGCACCAGGCGAATCGAAGGCTAGCGGAGACCCCCACGGCTCAGAAAGAACCTCCCAAGTCCAGTCGCAGAGGCAGCGGTGGACCTGCTGAAGTGGCCAGGCTTTCAGGAGCTGGAGACCATCAGCGCGAGCTCCCTTTGCAGGTGGCCGAGCATGACGGACCGTTCGGTCAGAAGCTGGAGCCTCTGAAAGCTAGCTCGGGCTCCCAAAGCGGCGAAGGAACTTCTCCGAGCTGTCTCCTCTCAAGGGGAGGGACCAGAAACTCCCAGCAACCACTTCACCGATGGAGCAGGCTCTCAAAGAGCTTTAGATTGCTTCTATCAGGTGGAAGATTCAAATACGCTGAGTCTCTGAAGGTGGCCTCCTACACACTGAAGCCTTGAGTTTTTGCAGGATATACAGGTATGGTTTGTTCAGCAGAAGACACCCGACAACCTCAAGCGGAAGGTGGGAGGCTGAGTAGCGGGGCAACTGCCTCATGTTCTCGGGCCCTGTTTCTTAAGGCCATGAAAATTTCGACCAGGCATGGCTCTAAATGCAACACTCTTGATGTTTTGGAGATTAATGAGGAATCAGTTGGCAGTGCGCACAGTTCTGGGTACAAGATAAAGCTCTCTGACCCACACAGGAACAGGACCACGGAATGAGGAAAATCCACGGAAAGCACGGGGCTCCCGGAAGCATGCTCCTTGGCAAAGAACACTGTGGTTACGCAGCCAGAGGGACCTTCCTCAAAATGCAGCGCGGTGGCAGGAAGGCTTGCGGGAGGAAGCCCAGCCTGCGCGGCCAGAAAGGCGGGCTCCGAGATCTCTCATCCACCTCCACGTGTACCTGTGTGCGACCTGCTCAAGTATGTTCGCGCGCGCTCTCTCTCCAGTTCTCTCTCTCTCGCTCTCACTCTCTCTTTCGCACTCCTGGCGGATTGGTGCCTCTTTAAAACGGGGATCAGAACAAACGAGTCCAGAGGAGAATGTCAACGGAGTTGTGGGGGGAAGCTAACTTTAGGGTGAGGGGAAAGCAAGGCCTGTGCCCACCCTCCCCTCTTTTCAGCAGCAGGGAAAGCGGAGTCTTAGGTGGGCATGTGTGCGTGCGTGTATGGCGTGCAGGCATGTGTCTTCCCCAAACAGCCCCTGCCCCACCCTGGCTTTTCGGGGCAGATGGAAGGGCCAGCTTGGTATGCCAGCTCAGAGGTAGGAAGAGTCAAATCTTGGAAAATAACCCAGCTGGGAGAAGTGTGGACAAAATGAATCTTTCAAGAAAAAGACATTCAGCAAGCACATACTTAAACCCGCTAAAAACAGGGGCTTTGCTGGCTAAGAGCAGGAGGCCTGGCTTGTACAAAAGGAGCAGGATGGCCCTGTGCTGAAGTGGCTAGTGCGATACACTAACCATCAGGCCTTAGCCGTTGGCTTCAAGCAGGGTGAGGTGCCGGGCACCTCATAGGGACTGAGAGTTCTGTGCCCAGACAATCCCAGTTCTGAACCAAAAGAAGCTGAACTCTGAATCCCACATAAATTATGCAAACCAAGCCAATCTGCACCAGGCCTATGATGTCACATAATTTATTCCACGCAATTCTGCATAATATATCAAGGCCTTATTAGCCATGGGGGGGGGAGCAGGAATGCTGCAGAATTTGGGCATCCTGCCCCTGAAAGCATTTGTCAGCCCACCTCTGCAATTTCCATACCTCTCTTACCACAAGCATAAGAGCTTGAAACTTGCTTCTGTTTTTGAAAATATACCAACCAAAAACAAAAGCTGAGGTTCTTGGGATTCTTGGGAATTCTGTGGGGTACCTGTGCTCCCCCAGAACTATAACACTCGCACACACACATACACAGAGCCCTCACTCGAGGCTTCCTCTCACTGAAGGGGGCAAGGGAAAGGCTTGGGCGGGGAGCATGTGAGAGGCTGGCTCCTCCCTACCAGGGCACTGCTGGGAGTTACGAGCTAACAAAGCATCCAGCCCATCCTGCAGGAAGTCTCAGACCCACCAGCCCTCTGCATCCCCACAGTGCTAGTTGGCAGACACCGCCGCCCGCTCCCCAGCGTGCCTCCCCGGGGCGCCCCCGAGCCTCCCCGCCTCCCCAGAGGACCCCGCCACTGCCTGCCCGTGCCGGCTGGGGTCCCCTGCCCATGCGCCCGTGACAGCCCCAACACGCTACCTCTTTCTTCTCCTCATCTTCAGGGCCAGCGTCAGGGCCGGGGGGCTCTGTGGATGGGTGTTCGTCGGGGCCAGCCTCAGGCGCCTCGCTCTCTGGGCGGGGCTCTGATGGCTCCATAGGCACCTCTTGCTTTTCTTCGCTGTGGGGAGAGAGGAGAGGCGGTCACTTGGGGGCAGGGGGTGCCCAGGGATGAGGGACCTCCCCCCTCAACTCAAGAGGGCCGGGGGCTCTGGGTGTGGCGGAGCCCTGGGGGAGGGATCTGCCCCTCCATCACACTGCTTCTCACGGCTCGGCCGGGCGGGCCCCCCAGTACTCACGCAGGACCGTCTTCTCGCAGAGGCTTGTCCTTCTCGCTACGATGCTTTCCTTCTTCCTTCCCTCCCAGCTACAATCCGCCCCCAGCACCCCCCATTTAGACACATAAACACTCCATCCAGCCCAGCCTCTCCTTCTCTCCTGCCGGGTCACCTCTCTAGAGGTCAGTGGTGCCCGCCCAGGTATTAACTCCAATTATTACCACCAGAACCTTCCTTGCAACTGCACCGTAGCCAGGCCTAACTTGATCCAGCGAGCACACCTCCACTACACCACTACACCAATCAACCTTTCAGATGTGTTGGACTACAACTCCCAGAGTCCCCCTGGCCAACTCTGGCACAAACCATAGGCAACTCCCCCTCATCCGGGCAAGAATCAGAGGAGGAGGGTTCCCAAGAGAGCACGAGCTGAGCTCTTACAGCATCCCTAAAAAGCAGCTAGATTTCGAAACAGCAGAGCTCCATCCTGGGTCTGTCTCCGCCAGACACCCCAACTCCAGTTTCCACTCAGTCTGTATCATCTGTCCTCTGCCCCACAACTATATCCATTCTCTCCCCCAGAACACGTCGCCAAAGATCGCTCTGCTGATGGGACATCAGCTCCCTTGCGCTTGCACAATGAGTGCAATGAGTGGGAAGAGGCCTGCCCTACAGGGGCTCAAGGGGGACAGAATGGCTGAGATGGCAGGCGGAGAGGAGGAGGAGGAGGAGGAGGAGGAGGAGGAGGAGGAGGAAGAGGCAGGCAGAGGAAGTGCAGAAAGACAGACACGTGCAGCGTTTGAAGGGGAGGGAGGGAACGCGTCAGTGTGGGAAGGCAAAGACAGGAAGGAAAACAGCAAGGCAGCAATGGCAAAAGAAAGAGGCACGTCTAGATGGAGAACAGAAAGGAGCCACAGACACGAAAATAGCTGCAACGAGGGCCGGGCGGGGTGGGGGACTGCAGCGAGATCCCAAGAAAGGGGAGAGAGAAAGATGCAACAGACCGAACGAACGGCCTGAAGATAGGAGGGAGCCAGGCCAGCCGGCGCTGGGGGCGGAGAGTGACCCTGTCAACGGAAGGGGAGAACTGGGGAGGGGGGCATGACAAAGCAGGGGGGAGGGGGCCTGAAGAAAAGAAGGGCACGGAAAGAAAATGGATGGCGGAGGGGCCCGAGGAGGGGGGGGGG